TCATCACTACTTCCCATAACTCACACTGACTGGTTAATTCCTATAAACATTACAGCATAACACTGAATGTTGAGTATTTTTCTTAAAAAATCCTAAATGGATTTGGTCCAGGGCGCCTTCTGTGTTGTCTTGTCCTCTCTTTAAGATATCATGTTATGTGGTTGCATCTAGGCTATCAGACTTTTTCTCAGGAGGTCTATTTGTCCCCCTCTCTCCTGGCCTTTTGCCACTAGTTGATACATTTTTGTTTTGACAGACATTTGATGAAATACTAGTGACTAATCCCTGTTTTAAGTTACTCTTTTCTGTCTGTCCGTCTGTCTTATATTGCTTTTATTGCACTTTAATTTTTAATGTTGAAAGTGCCCTGAACTCACAATAGTAGCAGTAGAAGTGCAGGGTATAAAAGCATCAAATGAATAAGTAAATCATCTTCCTTTGAAATGGGAAATGTAATGGTCACCCACTAGGATATCCAAGTTCCAAAGTAAAGTTTCACATACAGTGTGTGCACTTAAGTTTTAGCTATGAAGCGTAGGAAATAAAATCTGTATCATTGCAGTCAGTGGGCAGAAGCTGCATATGTCTTGCTCAATCCTTGTTTTGGAGTATGGAGTTGTCTTGTGTTTGTTCTCTGTGGAATAAATTTCATCGATACTCAAGCGTTCAGCTTTCTCACAGGTACCTACATTATCGATCATTTAGGCTTCTTTTATTTATGTTTTTGTGCATGCTTTATAAAAACATGTGCTAATGTTCATATTTTAGTGTACTGTTTGCTTGTGTAGAACAAGCTATTTGTGTTTATCAGAGGGTGAAATAAGCAGTGCAGTGACAACTAATTCTTGCAAGTCATCTCCTTCATATTACTTGAGCTTTATGAAGGCCTTTAATCTCTTCAAAAATGTAATCGTTGATCAAATGACATTCTTATAACCTTTTGTGACTGCTTAATATAGTGAAAAGACTATAAAAAGACCATTGCTTAGTGTGGCATTTTATTATTTTTATGTGTTCTGTTCAACAAAATCTTTTTATTTTGTCCTTATGTAGAGTCTCATAAATGGAAAGATTCTCACATTTGAAGCTGCATTTATAAAGCTTGAGTCATTCTTTTAAATGTCCAGGCTCTGGAGGAAACAGCGATAGCGTCACTTGAAGGATATCACCTTCTTTGATGTATGGAGTAGGGGAGATCTCTTCAAAATAACTTGAAAATTAATTGCTTCTTTAAATAGCCCCAAAGGTTACTTCGAAGCAGAATGAATAGGAAATAGGACTAAAGGAGTAAATCTTTTATGAATGTCATGTACAATTGAATAGATTGTTTAAAAAAGTTTGACATTGCTTCATTTTGTTACAAATAATGAGTCCTGGATTTTTAAAAGAGCATGAAGAATTAAAAGCAGTAAGGATCTTTAATATAAAATGATATTATGAATGTAAGTATAATTTTTGGGTCATATCAGCTAAGTACTACACTGAGTACTCTGAGTTACTCATGGTCATTAATTTCAATGTGTCTACTCTGAGTTTGGCTAACATTGCATACAACCCATAATTTATATTATAAATTATAAACATTATACATGTAAATCTAATGGCTGTACACTGGCAATTGAGATATGTATTGCAAAGAGGAGAAGGCTTTTGATTACCAGAGATTCTGAATCTGTTGTTTTTTGTCCCTATAATAAACCAGATTGGTTCAAGGCAGAGCTTTCTAAACTTGTGGTCTATATTAAGGTTTTTTTCTTTAAAACAACAACAACACACAGCGCATTAGGTATAGCCCTGGAGACTAATTTTACCCTGGAAAACTCTCTTAAGGTTTCTTCTGATGCTCTGTTGCATCTGACTATGAAAGCTAAAGAAGAGATTCCGGGTGGGGAGCTTAGTGCTGTCTACTCTGTCTGACAGTGGCTCTCCAAACAGGAATCTATCCTAATTTGACTTGGAGATGCTAGGGATTGAATTTAGGACCTGTGCAGTATGTCCTCTGCAAATTAATCACAGCCCTTCCCTATATAGGCGGCATCATCCCCATGGGGGACTTGACCACGCTTTGAACCAGAAACCTTGCACAGTGTAAGGATCACACACCAAACTGACTAGCTGTGGTTGTAGCCTCACCAGGTTGTAGCTTCACTTTCCGCTCTACCATGATCAGTGTGACACTTTGGGATCCAAAGTTCTAGAGTTTTCTAGATGTCTTTTAAAGTTTTTAGAAAACATCTGAAGGTAGCCCTTGTATAGGGAAGTTTTTAATGTTCGCTGTCTTAGTATGTTTTAATTTGTTGGAAGCCACCCAGGGTGTCTGGGGTAACCCAGTCAGATGGGTGGCAAAGAAATAACTCACTCACTCACTTACTTCTCTTTTACAATGGTTTATCATGTAATGAGGTGGAGTGAGAAGGTTGCTGTTCAGAAAACAGTCCAAAGCCTCCTTGGGTGCATTCTTCATTGGATGTAGGCCACCATGTCCCCTTCACCTCCCGGTTTTGCCAAGGGTAAAATATTCACATTTGCAGTTATTTTAGCCACCAGCAGCAAGCCAACAGAAGCTGTGGTTGGAACACAATGGGAAGCCAAGGCATCCTGGTTTGTTTACCTTGCTTGTGCCACAGGAGGAGCTAAGAAGGAGTGATTGGGCAGGGTGCACCAGAACTTCATTTATTTCCAATAAACCTCAGGAATCCAGAAAGTTTGGCTTACTATGCGTGAATGTCGCCCAATAACTCCCCATTTCCACAGTTGTTTGCTAGGGAGTCTGACAGTGCCACAGCTTCCCATATAGATTTCTGAAGGAAATTTTTACTTAATGCCCTGTCCTCTGCTCTTTCCATCTTCCAGCATGTTGGGCAGTGGTAGAAGTGAATAGTGGTTCAGAGCCAGTTTGATATACCATGTTTTGTATTAACATGCACTACCTCTTTCTCTTGATTAGTCTTTTGCATAAAAACTTAGATCATGTGAATGGATGTAAATATTAAGCATGTTTAATAATGTAAGACCTATTATTGTTTTGTTTGTGGGCTTTGAAATGTAGATTGGGACCGGAGATTCTCCAGTTTTGGCTGTAGCTTCTTGTGTGTGTATATAAGAAGAGGTCACCACTTGAGCGTGAGAAAGAGAGGTTTATTGAATTGCAAACGAGTGTACTTGTCTCTCTGAAATCCTTTCAGAACAGTTGTACATGATCTGTAATGCTGTTGTCAACTGCCCCCATGTGTTTGGCAAGTATAAATGGAACTTGATAACAGCCTCAGAATATTGTATTTGCTGCTATTAAGTATAAAACAGTGTTTAGCATTTTTAAAGCTTTACTACTTTAAAAATATTAATTTAGACTTACTTTTAATACTTGCTTATTTCATGTTCTGTTAGCTTTCTCAAAATACCCACAAGGCCAAATCCAAACGCTATTGTTATGTTTTTGTTGGGAATTTGAAATTAAATATAAATTGGAAGCAAATACTAATGGGGATGCTTTCACAATTGTTTTCTGTTTATATAGGAATGGTATAAGGATGCGTCTTGTTTCTTGGATGGGGTGGTTTTAAAATGATTCTTCACACATGATTTCTCATGTTCAAGACTGTGTGTGTGTGCGTGTGTCCTTTCAATTTTCATCACACGGGCAAAAAAATATTTGTTGAAAATGTATTTAGTTCACGCTTCAGTGTGATGTAACAGCAAAAAGAAAAAAATTAGTTAGTGCAATTGTGGGCTGTTTCAACAGAAGTATGGTGTCCAGACCAAAGGATGTATTATTACTACCAGTCTAGTCACACTTGGTTAGATTTTACGTGGAGTACTGTGCCCAGTTCTGGGCACTACAGTTTAAGGAGGATATTAACCCACTGGAATGTGTGTAGCAGAGGACAACCAAGATGATAAAGGGTCTGGAAACCAAGGGTCCCAGAGGTACTTACACTTACAGTGGTACCTCTGGTTAAGTACTTAATTCGTTCCGGAGGTCCGTTCTTAACCTGAAACTATTCTTAACCTGAAGCACCACTTTAGCTAATGGGACCTCCTGCTGCCGCCGTGCCACTGGAGCACGATTTCTGTTCTCATCCTGAAGCACTATTTCTGGGTTAGCGGAGTCTGTAACCTGAAGCGTATATAACCTGAGGTACCACTGTATCAGTAATGAGATGGGAATCCAGTTTTATTATTACAACAAGACTGTGAGGTTGGTTAGTTTGAATTGGTGTAATTGGTCCTAGATTTGAAGGTGAACCATTGAGCTTTATGTATTTGTGTATGGATTCTAACCCAGGTTTCCCCAGTCCAAGTCTAACATTCTGTCCTTTAAATAGATTTTTAGTTCCACAGTTCTCTGAATTTAAGAAAAAACAAGCTCCTGAACATTAGGGCTGGGCTGAATGTGTAATAGAAGCTAAAGTGCACTTGTGCTGCATTTCACATGCCTTCTTTGGATTAAAACATGGAAGGAATATGGCTTTCATTCCATGGAGATGTGCTGTGAAATGTAAGCTTTTCTTAGGGAAGTATGACTTAATATCAGTTTACTAACAAAGATTTTGAAATAACTATAGATTTAAACAAGATCACAAGTGGTGAGGAGGGGACCCATTGGTCATTCTTGGCTGCTAAACTATGATTAGTAAGCTGGGAATTGTACATTTGAATCAATAAGGTGATCCTTCTATAGAATTTTATGAAACAATCATTTGGAAAGTTTAGTAGCTTTGGACATGATGATCATGCAAGATGAATACGGGTTCAATGCTAATCTGTTACCATAGAAGAATGTGAGAAAGTAGGAAAATTATTGGTCTTGTGTATATGATTTTGCAGTTTTTGTATATTGCTTTCCTGTGTTTGTTTTCATTACTTTGTTCCTTGTTTGGGGATTGAAAATGTTTTATAAATACTGTAAATAAATAAAATTCTAATTCTTTTATGGCACAGAGGCAACAAGTTTGAATGCAAAGTAAAGATGCTACAAAAATGCTCTTCTTATAAAACTGGGATGCTTGCTAATTACGAAGCTAGTCATTTTCAGAAATGTATTTCTGAATTTGTTTTGAATCTGGAAGCTTGGATGACGTTAAAGGAAACAGTGGTTTAGTCAACTTTATTTCAGTTTGCAAACATTCCAATAACATTCAGTTTTTTAGGATACATAAAATAAAGCTTACATACTAAATATATTTTGGTTCGTAGCATTTGATGTGCAGCTTTTCCTTCCCTGACATAATGTACCTACAATTAAATCAGCCAGAAATACATCTATATATTTGGCTGGTATGTATCTCATAGCAACCCTTTCCCCACCATACATTGTTCTGCACATTAATTTTTTTGGCTTTGATCCCTGGCACTTTCCTATAAATTATATTATGTGCTTTAGAACAAAGAGCCTATAAGCTTTCACCACTGAATCGATAATGCATTGAAGTACATTAAATGATCATTCACTCATAAAACAAATGTACCTTGTGAAGTGGAAAGCCTGGAAGTTTAAGAATAAAAATATCTTGCTGAAATTTTAATACATGTATTGTGGAGACTTTATAATTGGAATCTGGAAATCATTTTTTGTTTCTCTGAAACTAGAGGGTGTGTGAGGGAGGAAGAGAGTGTCATTGACATTACTGATAGTCTAATCATTTCATTGTGACAAGTGTTAGGCTTTTTAAGACTTATCAAGTGCTTCATGAAAACTCTGTACGAACAACACTCATTTGAAGGTGTGTGTTTGTTATGATGGCAGCATCATGAAATGTAGCTTCTGTCATGAAATAAAGTATCTCAGCTGTAAAACTGTTAGAGTAGTGTCTCCAGTAATGGTTTCATTGTTCTGTCATTTAGCTGGTTATTAAAAGGAAATCAAGGGAAGGTCTAACCAACTTTCAAATCCTTTAATAACCCTCCTGCAAACAGATGCAGTGACTAAAACTGATGGAATTTTTATGTACTGTATAAGGAATAACAGAATGCTGTGATTGTTTAAACTAAAGCACTTCCCCCCTTCTGCTAATAATATGCTTGCTCAGTTCATACAAAAATTATTTGGGCTTCAGCATAGCCACCTGGACCTGTGCTGCAATCTGTAGATATACTGTTCAGGCAAGTATTCTACCCAGTTGCTTGGCAAGAAGTAACTAAGTAAATCTGTTCCTTGCTTCCAGTGTCTGGTCAATGAGTGCAAAATGTACTTGGATGGATGGCCTTATATTGCATTTTAATTGGCTAAACATTTATTTGATAACTTTTTAAACAGAATACTTGATTTTAGGATTTAGCATTAGTACCCCCATGATTGTATTTCCAGCTTCCTCTTCATAACATAGGTAGTGGCCCTATCTTTTCCTACCTTATGGATTTGAAGTTGGATTTAATTTGAATCTATACAAACCATTTTCATTTTCAAGGGCTGGCATAGCTTTAAATGAAAACTTTTAGCAGGATTAAAACAAAGCAACGTAGGCCAATAATTCAGTGTCGTGTCATGAAGGTTCATTTCTGTAATGTATGTTAATAACAGTAAGCTACCTTTGTGTTCGGAGTTCTGACATTCTGAATACTACAGCATTTTTTTCTTATTGAAATGTGAATACTTTAGTAACAATGCTTAAAACAAAACCTTAGGGAAATGATTCCTGAAAACTACCTTCCACTCTTAAAAAAATAACATGGTATAAAGCATAGTGTAAAAAAGATCCTTCACCACTATCATTAAAGGAAGCATGTACTAGTGCTACAAATCTTTCATTTTGATTGTGATGTGCAGTTTAATTTTCTGAAGATGGATTCTGGTTTCCCAGACCTAAAGATCAAATATGATATAGGCCTCATGGAACTAAAATATAGCTTCCTCACAGTGATAGTTGGGATTTAATGGTACTATAAATGAAATAATTGCTTTCTATCATGTACAGTTCTGTTATTTTAAAGCCTTTAATATTAGCTTATGAATAATTTAGCACAATGAGCTCTATTCACTTACATGGTGAACTTAATGTTTGTCAGGAAAGGGATTTGTCAGCTGGAAGAATGTATGATTGTGTGGTTCTTTGTAAAGCTTTTTATTTCTAGAGATACACTAATCTCTTCTAGAAACTTAAAGGAAGTTTCTTCCTGTGCTGGTCTGAGTTTCAGTTGTTTTTTGCGGAATAGTACCTGAAATGTCTCAGATACATAATGGTTGTTTTGGACCATAGATTTTTACTGCAACTGTGGAGTGGTACCTTTATTAAATAAGAAAGGGGTGTGTGTGTGAGAGAAAACCACCACAAATTGAAATGCTTGGAAATGTTTGTGATGTTTGATCTATTTTTGAATGGGTTTCTGCATGTTTAGTGATCACATGCCCCAATGTGGTTTCAGACTGTACGTAGTTAAATCTTCTACAATACTTGCACTGTTGGTAGAAGAGCATCCACACCATATATTCTATCACCAACGATCTTTAAGAAATTCCTGGGACTGCAAGAGGCGAATGCCTACCTGCCCTAAAAATAAAAAAAGCCTTTCACATGCTGTTATAAAAATCTTGACAGAAAAAGTTTTCATTCCCTGTTCCTTGGGCCATCAAAGGAGGAGGCAAGATAGGCGTACTTGGCCAATTTTAGGCTGCAGCGTTGCTGGACATTGATGACTATTCGTTGGATATGCATGGCATGTGGAACAGTTCCTTCTGGCAACTCAGAATTGTGGCAAAATGAGGCCTTTTGATAGATTTAGGTCTTGGAGCTATTGCGACATAGGGTGAAGGTGAAAAGAGATCAAAATAAATAAGCATGTGATCTCCAATGCCCCCAATAATCCCAAATACAACAATGAATCTATACATTCGGTTATGACAGAATGCTGAATTTCAGACTATGCAAATCCTTTCTGAAAACAAGGTGGTCTTGCATTTAAATGGCTAAGCAAGTGTTGCATTTTATGGATTATTGTTTTAGATTGGAAAACTGAAGGAGTAACTCTTTATCCCAGTGCAGTGGTAGATTTTAACATGCATTAAAATCTCATGTTAAAAATGGAATTTATCACATTTTGGGTTTTGTTAAACAAATTTTATCATTTGACAAGAATAGAATATGAACTGTGTGTGCTGTGCATGCTGCAGATTAAGAATAATGCCAAATGGCCAAGCACTGTCCCTTTCAGTGCGATTGGGAGCTTTATCCACAGGAGATTTAGTTGTTTAAAATCTGCATTTTCTAATGAAATAAAAATAGCTACAGGGATTAAGTACTGTGATTTCAGTTGTATTTGCAGAAGCACGTAATATTTCTGCTTATTTAAGCTGTTCTCTCTAGCATTTACAGTGCTCACAAATTCATCTTTCTTATTAAACAAGGGATCATGTTGCACTTGAAAAGTACTACTCTTTTGCTCTTTGTGATTAGCTGCCATGTATATAAGGGGTGCTTGCTTGTTTGTTCATTTGTCCTGATCCTGGAAACTATCATTACCTCCCCCTTCCCCAAAGCAAAATAATAATAATAATTACCTTGGGCTGTTGGAAGAGTGAGACCGTGGGAGCAGGTAATCCAGAACCAGGTAGAGCATCTCTTTTCTTATTACTGGAAGTGCAAGTCCCAGTTTCCCTAACAGAAAAATTCCTGCAGCTGCTTCACTCTGAGAATTTTGGAATTTACAGTCTTGTCAGGAAAAAGGTGTTCCCTTGGGTTTTGGCAGTAACTCACATTATCTGCCTATTCCAGCCTTCAAAAATGCAGCATTTTTTTCTGGGGGTGGTCAAGGGTATGCAGTAGTGGTACCTTTTAAAAAATGTTAAAAGCAAAAACGTTACTGTAACAACTTCACGGTGAGTACCTGCACCATTTTCCTTTGGAGGAAAAAACCACCACTGCAAAAATGTGATCCCCATTGCATTCTGAAGTGCTGCAGTTCAGTACGCCCACATAGCTCAGTAGGTAGAGCATGAGACTCTTAATCTCAAGATCATAGGTTCAAGCCCCAGGTTGGGCAAAAAGATTCCTGCATTGCAGGGGATTGAACTAGATGACCCTTGTTGGACTAGGCTTGTGGACCCTTACAATTCTACTATTCTACCTTGGTGTGCCTCCTCCTTATTCTGCCGCATGTGTAGACTAGACCAGAGTATATTTCCAGCTGTTAGCATAAGGTAAATGTATTTTTCTGATTCACTGTAAACCACCATGGACTCATATTTTAATATGATTCAGTAGCACCTGCAAAATCCTTTTTAACTTTTTAAAGCAACTTTTAACAATATTTTTTGTATGCCTTAACCCTGCACAGTATTGCTAGGTCATTCTTCTCACTTGTCAGTAATAGATGGAACTGATAGAGGAGAAAATTCATAAAAGAAGCAAAATGGTCTGTACCTATTTCTGATCCCTTTTGTGAAAACAAGACTGTGGCTGTTTGTTAGTGTTCTTATTCTCTTTTCTCCTAAAATGCCTTTGTGGATGAGGTTCATTTGAATTCACTTTACTAAAGCTTCACAAGAATGAATATTCACATGGCTGGCCTAGATTGCACCCAAATGTTACTGCATTATGTGCAAACTTGTTTGTATTTCTGGTGCAGTGTAGGGTAGTAGTGGTAATCTTCCAATATGAGCATGAAAACCCTCCAGATGATTTGGAGTGTTTAGAAGTTGTCCTGAGCACATCCAGCTCAAGGAGGACAAATGGCCCATCATTTAATTCTTTATTGACATAGCATGAACTTACTGTTGCTCCTAAGGTGCACTAAACATGCGCACACATTGCTTCTGGTGGGTAGGTAGCTGGTGGCCCTCCACGGGCTTGCGCTTCGAGCTGAGCTGTTGGAGCAACAGGCTGGCCAGCGTTCCCCCCACAAACTTTAGTATCCTCATCTGATGGCGTGAGCACAGGCAATCTGCAATTCCTTCTACATGGAAGTTGTCAAGCCACTCTTACTCTTCAAGCCCCTCTTGGTCCTGGGAGATTGCAGGGGCAGAGGAGATGCTGCCACCCACTCCCTTCAGGCACTGTCTCTCCCATTCCTGGTGCATCCTGTCCATCCTCCAACTCTGGCTCTTACCTTGTGTCTTGCACCTCCTTCCCCATCTACAACTGCTCATACCCCTCCCCATCCTCCACCCCTGACTCCTACCTCATGGGAGGGGAGAAACTTCATAAATTTCTACCCCCTTTGCTTGGATCAGCCTCTGGCCCCGCTGTCTCATCCACACTCTCCTCAGAGCCCTGCCAGTCCCTGACAGAGGTGCGTTACGACTCTTTATTGTGCTGTTTTTAGAGTCTGACATTAGCACTGGCAATATTTTTAGCGTAATTCTAGAGTTTGAGCAGTATGTACTCTTCAAAGAGAACAGAAAGATAGATTTCTATTAGTTTAGGATTGCATAATTTGACCCATAAGGCATGTGAAAATTTGAAGGTGAAAATTTGTGCAGGAATTCAGATCACAGAGCTTTAATGCAGTTTGTTGTTTGGCCCTTAAACATAACCAGTAATGAACTAGAATGAAGACATGAAGGTAATGATTGCTTAAATCAGGATGTTTGAAAAGTTTTGTCTCCAATAATTTTAAGCTATACTTTTGAGACAGCAGATGAACTTGGCAATTTTAATCCTAAACTTTTATTTTAAATTACGATTCATTCAGTATAACTGACCCCAGAGGATATATTTTTTTATAGGCCTAAAAAATGTCAATCTGAAGACTGTGGTAGCTTTCTATTTTGTTTCCCAGACGTGGTGCATCTACAAGAAAGTGCAGTTACATAGTGTGCTGGGCTTGATGCTGAGGAATTCAGACTACCAGGCTATTGTTGGAGTGCAGGTTAGAATGAAATGCAGGTGGTCTGAAAAACACTAGAGCTGCACATTGAGTAGTAAATCAATTATCAGAATTAAAATTAGAATGGTTGTGGGGAAAGAGGAGGAGTTGATGTGTATTAACACAACTCCATGGAAATCTGGGAAATCAAATCAAACAGGCTGTGGGAAGCTCACTCTGTAGAGCATGAGACTATTTCAGGGCTGTGGGTTTGAGCCCCACATTGGGCAGAAAGATGGGGTTGATCTAGATGACCCCCATGGTCCCTTCCATCTCTACAGTTCTATGATCTAATATTATAGAACTAAAATGTGGGACAATGTCAGGTGCTGGAAGGCCAAAGATTTAGAACTAGTGTTCTAACTTTTTATTTAGCATTGTGCAATGAAGACTTCAGGGGCTCTTGAGAATTCTTTCCAGACACCTGGATAAAGCATTCTGATTTGGTAGAAAGAATGGTCATGGGTAATTTGAAGTAAAACAGAAGGATTATTTGATAAGAGGACTCCTAGAAGAGCAACAATTGAAGTGTTGGTTTCCTGAAAACAAACTGTGTATACAAAGAGTCCTGCGCCCCAGCCCTGATTTAACACATTGCAAAGTGGTAATTCTTGGAGCAGTTATATTGGCTTGACTACAACTCTTCTGTAAGAACTATCTCTGTATTTTGTTCCATTTTTCCTGAGGTTGGTGTTCAGAACAGTATGTCTAGGTATACTTGAAATAAAATAATTAAAAAACCACCAAGAATCCTAAAGCAAATGTGTTTGTGCTATTACGTACTTGGAGCCTGATTTTAATACAATTTCTTATTCTTGTTGACTACGGGGAAGAAAAAAGTCAAAGCACTTGAAATCTGCAGTCTGTATTTTACATAACTGATATGCAACTACTTTATGTGTTTACAAGCTTTAGGTCTTTTATTACGACAGAATTTTCTTTATGCAATTTTAGGATATCATTTTCCATTTGGCAAAGTAGTGTATAATACAACATATGTTCCAGAGTTTAATTCTGATATCCATTTTCAAATACTATATGGATAAAAGAAACCAACAGCCATTTCCTCACAAACGTTATTCTTGAGCACCGTGAGAGTCACCTTTCCACAATTATATTTGGTATTTCATATTTGCCCAGAGCAGAAGGAAAGGGTTTGCATGTGTTTATTCCCAAGGGATAATGCAAGACTGGTGAGAATGGGGATTTAAAGGATAGCGAGATTTTGGACATCTTGTAAAAAGTTAATTGAATGCATAACTAAGTATTTCTCTGTTTAGAGTATATCCCCCCCCCCAGGTGTTCTTAACTTTCTGAGTGTAATAATGTGCAATTTCCAAAATAAGTACATTAGGAACTAGTTTCTGAAACACTGTTTCAGTTGAAAAATGATAGTAAAATTTACATGCAAAGATTTGACTGGGGGAAAAATTCAGAGCTTTCAGAGCTGAAGCACAGCAGCTGGTCTTAATTTAGTGCACTGTAGAAACTATTTGTCTCTTGTTCTTCTTTCCCCAGAAAGGTTAGTGAAGCAGAAGTTTAATGACTCCTAGAAGTCAGCATTTTAAGAACATTTCATCATAATATGCAATGAACCAGTGGTTATCTAAATCTGTGTCAGCAGGATTCCTTATGGATTCCAGTCACTAGTGCATTTCCTATGCATTGGAAAATGTTTTAGGTTGACTGTCAGCAGGATAGGAATGAGGTTACAAATAATGTAGGAAACCAGGGAAGCAACATTATCTATTGTCTGTGTCTCATTTTAGTTCTTTTTTCAGCAATAGGTATGTATGATAGAAAATGAGGGCAGAAATGGAAGAATTCCATTTATAAAACCACTAATACCAGCCTGGCTTGGGAAGAAAATCCATTTTAAACAATTTGTAGCCACAGCTTCTTAATTTTAGTAGCCCTCACATTTGGACAAGGGTATATATAACCTTGTTATTGTTGTAGCTTGACTTTCTTCCTTTTCAGTTTTTCCTTTAGGGAACTTAGCAATAACATAATTATGGGAGTGAATATTTGGCCTTTTTAAAAAGATTTAGAATTGAGGGCAGAATTTTTAACTGAAAAGGCAATTACTTAACAAATGAATGAAATTTAATAGAACATTTAACAAAACCATATCTTAGATTGTCATACAGTTAATATTATAATCATTTAAATAAATTAATGGAAAAATATTTACCAGACTTTAAATATCATAACAGATGATCCATATAACAATATATTACACAATCGAGCACAGCAGAGCTTTGGAGATCATATTATGCCACTTTTAATATGTGTATACCACTTTCCAGTCAGTGTTAAACTCATCAGATTTTTCTTATCCAAATGCACATAGGCATGGTTGTGGGTTCTCACAATAGTTGTTGGTATCTATCTATCTATCTATCTATCTATCTATCTATCATCTATCAATCATCTATCATCTATCTGTATTAGATTTTTAGGTTGCACTGCTATATACTCATTCACCTAGGAGTAAGTACTGTTGAATAAAATTGCACAAACAGGATTGTGCTATCAAGGTGATGAGTAAAAAGTGTAGTCCCTCCCCCCCCCCCAGTTTTGTTCTGTTTTAAATTGTTATGGCCAGGCCTAAGATCTCATGTGATGAGGGAGCAGAATGTAATCCTGATAACATTTATAGCGCACATTTCCTCCAAGGAGCTCAAGATTCCCCTCAGCTGCATTTTATCTTCCCAACAACCCTGTGAGAGGGCAAGGCTGAGAGACCTAGCCCAAGGTGACTTGGCGATCTTCATGGTTGCCTGGGGGTTCGAATCCTGGTCTTTCAGGTCCCACTGCAACACACTAACTCAGGGGTTGGCAAACTTTTTCAGCAGGGGGCCAGTCCACTGTCCCTCAGACCTTGTGGGGGGCCGGAATAAATTTTTTTTGGGGGGGGGGGAATGAACGAATTCCCACAAATAAGATGCATTTTAAATAAAAGAACACATTCTACTCAAGGTAAGCCACCCCCCACCCCCACGACTCTCCCCTCCCTTCTCCACAGCACTGGACAAGCCCCAGTGGCTGCTTACCTGTGTCTTGCGAGCTGCAGGGGCTGGCGGCAGCGGAACGATGAGTGGCGCACGAAAGGGCTCCGGAGAGGGGCTGGCAGCAAGAAAGCCCGAACTGAGCCTGCTTATAATGGTGGCCGATTGAGTGCTAACGCTGCTGCTGCTGGCATCAACAAAGCCCAGCCCCCTTCCGCTTGGCTCTAGGCAGGGCGGGGAGAAGCCAGGAGGAGGGAGGGAGGAGGCGCCGCCGAACACTTGCGCTGGCGCAGCCCAAACAATCAGATCCACGCTGATCCACACAGTGATTCCTGGACCGTTTGCGGGCTGGATCCAGAAGGCAACTGGGCCTGATCCGGACCCCGGACCCTAGTTTGCCTACCCATGCATCACCTCCCCTTTCTTATCAGTACATTCTTTAGAAAGTTGCAGCCTATGCTTTTGTTAGAATTTAGGGGCTTCTTAGTTTTAATATGATTCTAGAATTTTGAGAGCACAAATGTTAAGTAATATAAAGCATGCAAATGATGTGAAATGTGGGTGGACACATTAATGTCAATAACCCCCTGTTATATGAGAACAGGAAGATATTTTCGGCTATTTGCTGTCATTGATCTTAAACACTGGGAACGGAAAACTGTAGGGAAGCAATTTTTAAATGTTTAGGTGCAAGAATTCCTTACTGGCTGTATGCCAGATCACCTTGTTTTACCTGAGGACTGCTTTAAATAGACAAATGACAGCAATTTATTCAGGTTCATAATGATTAAGCAAAGTGCAGGATGGCAAAACTAATTGCTAGAATATATTTGCAAATATTTAAAAGAGCAGGCTGACAGTAAGTCAAATACAGTGGTGCCTCGCAAGACGAAATTAATCCGTTCTGCAAGTGTCTTCATCTAGCGGTTTTTTCGTCTTGCGAAGCAACCCTATTAGCGGCTTAACGGATTAGCGCTATTAGCGGTTTAGCGGCTATTAAAGGCTTATCGGCTTAGCGGATTAGCTGCTAAAAGGCTATTAAAGGCTTAGCGGCTTAGATAAAGGGGGGAAAAGCGGGGAAAAAATCTCAAGACTCGCAAGACATTTTCGTCTTGCGAAGCATGCCCATAGGGAAATTCGTCCTGCGAAGCAACTCAAAAACGGAAAACCCTTTCGTCTAGCGGGTTTTCCATCTTGCGAGGCATTAGTCTTGTGGGGCACCACTGTACATTCTTATGCTGAGTGGAATATTTCCTCCATGAAAAAGAACAGAAGAAGAGTTGTGCTGGGTCAGACCAAATACCTATCTAGCCAACATTCTGTTTCCAATGGTTAGCTAGCAGCTTTCTGTGGGAAGCACACAAGCAGGATGTCCCACGAATGAACTAGCTCTCTCTAATTACTGCTCCTCAGTGATTGACATTCAGAAGCATATTGCCTCCAACAGTGGAGGCAATATAGCCATTTGGCAAATATAGGCAATATAGTGAATACAGCCATTATAGCTATTAGCTATTGATAGCCTTGCATAGCATTAATTTGTGTAATCCCTTTTAAAGTCATCCGTGTTGATGAGCATCACCCCATCTTGTAAAACTTGTGTTTCGTTTTTCTAAATCTCCCATCATTCAACTTCACTGGATGACATCTGGTTATAGTATATTAAAAGAAAGAAAGTAAGTTCTTTCTATTCACTCTTGCAGCACCATGCATAATTTGATATGAATATTATCATGTCCTCCCTTATTTGCCTTTTCCGTCTACCAAAAAGCCTCAAATGTTGGTCCCTTACCCTTTTTAGACCTTCGTTTTCCACGCTGAAGGGCAGTGACAAGAACTGAACACATGGTTGCACAATAGATTTGTATAAAGGCATTACAATATTGGCAGTTTTATCCTTGATCCTTTTCCTAATGATCTTTAACATGGACTTTGCCTTTTTCACAGCCACCTCTGTTAAATAGATAGTACCAAGTTATACATTTCCAATTTAAGGCTGGAAGTTTGCCTCCTGTGTTATATACTTCTCTAGAAGACAGATTATTTTCTAATCCTTTCGGAGCTGTTGGTCTCAGGCTAGTAATATATGCTCTAAGATTGAAAAGCAACATCCTTTATTTGGGGTAGACCGTGAAACAGATTATCCACACAGCAGGAACATGCTGCATGCCAGAAACTAAGTAACAATATATTGCAGATAACTTCTGCAAGATTGTGTGAGGAGAAGCAGTTGTGAAATGGTTTGTTGTAATACATTGTGAGAGTGTACTCAATTGATCATCTGAAGACTTGATGATACTGTAGTAGCTTTTGGGCCTGTAGGTTCAGTCAACAATATTCCTGTGTGCTCCTCCAGTGCCACACAGCTTCTTCGTTAAGTTGACTAGAAGAGCAAACACCACAAGGTTTTGGGAGCTGCACTTGAACATACTTAGACTTTTAATTTGTGACATGTTTATCAAAAAGGTTGGCAGCTGCTGTCTTCCGTAATCTCCTTTCCTCAGCACATTAGCTCTATGTGTAGTACTTCAATGAGTCGATGCCCATCCCTCTCTCTTTTTCTGTCCTACTCAAACTTTGCCTTCTCCATGTTAGTCAAGGGAAATACCAGTTTTGTGATGTGGTGCTACCCTGCATGTTCCATGAAGCCCCAATGTTTCCCAGCTGACAAAAGCAGCAGGGCTCTCTGGTGGCCCTGTGTGTCTCTAGA